AACAAAGAAAAAAAGAAGAAGGTTGTTAGGTATTACAGTTGATGATTATTGTTGAAGAACTTATTGTTATTAATTTGGAATATAAAAATTGGGATTAGAGATTAGAAAATGATGAAAAAGTTTTGTCGGAGCACGGCAGATGGATCATAAGGAGAATATAAAATTTTACTAAAATGAGTTTGAGAAAAGAGTTTTTTGAGATTTTTCTGTAATGGTCCTATTTTGCTGTCTCTTTSTCTCTGTCGGATGTTTGTTTTAGTATAACTATACGTAGAAGGATTCCAACGTTGAACTAGGTTCCGATTATCTCTTTTCCCAATGTTGTTGGCAGGAATGTTTTTTTCTTGCAAGAGTGAGGATCGAATCATAAATTTTTCGAGATTGTAACTATAGGTGTATCTTCACTCAGCTATGTTTATATTAACTTAAAATTTTTCTATTTGTTTTTTTGGTATCGTAATTTTGATTATTCTTTTTTTACTTTATTAGACTAGGCAAGTTTCAACTAAGGAAGGTTTAGCCCTAATAAAGCTAAAATATTATGGATAACTACAGAAAAATAGACAAATATTACATATTAGGGATCGAACTCGCAACCTCTTGATTGAAATATTATTAATTATTGCTGAACTATATTCGCTTTGATTACCAATCATATTATAAATAAATAAATATATATATATATAGTTTCAAAGAAGGAAAAAAACGTTTTATATTGAATTTAAAATTAGTTACCATAACCATTTTCGATCTCCCTCTTTCTTTATGCGTTTTCCTCTCTCCATCTTTCTTTCAATCTTTTATTTCACCATCTAAAATAGAAAAGTTAGATTCATACATTTCTATCTTTCTTTCTCCCTACAATTTCAATAACTTTCAAACGTGACTCACCCCCTCTAAGAGACGTGAACAATTTACAGGATTTTCGAACGCGACTTACCTCCTACCCTTTCCAGGACGAGTCACCTCCTCTGAGCGACACAAATATTTTCTGGTGTGACTCACCTCCTTTGATAGATGCAAATACTTTCCACACTTTTTAGCACGACTCGCCTTCTTTGACCGACGCAATGGTTTCAGAGAGGAGGTTGTAGGATTGATATGACAACATTATAAGGGGTAAATATGGTTGCTTACCAACTTTTCAATTTTAGAAAAGAATTCAAGAACAACAAGCCATTGTATAAATCAATTGCAATGTAAATGCATAAATTAGAGAAAGTAAGAGAAAAGATGACACCATAAATTTTATAGTTATTTGCTTATTTGGTATTTTACTACAATGACTATCTTACATGTGAGAACCAAACGAATCGATCCCTCTTTTTACGGGTTCAGAGAGGTCATTTTGCAAGTTCATGATCCAAACATACATCAATTTTTTTCACTGGTTCAAGATCAAGCCACTACGACCTCTTTCACAGTTGATTTAGGATCAAACCACTGTCATAATCCTAAGACACACTCACAACTTAATACAAAATTTCAAATGATGTAAAAATAAACAATATAGAAGAAATAAATTTCACAATAAAGCCACAATCTAATTGTATCTCTCACAAAAAAAGATGGACAAACTTTTTGTATTGTAAGAGATAATGAAAATTTTGTGATTTGGAAAGCAGAAATTGGAGAAGAGAAAAATAATTTTTGCTGAAGAATATCGTGGAGATTGAGAAAGGGTTATAGAGACGATTGAGATAAATTGTGGAGAATGAGAGTAATTATTGTGGAGATCAGGAGAAATTTGTGAAAATTAAGAGAACTTATGGGAATTGAGGGAAAATCCAAAAAACGGTTAATTCTGAATTTATTTGAATGCGTGTCACATGTCATCCTCTCACTCGTCTGATCGAATTGTGTAAGTCACCACATGTAGAACTAAGATTGCCACATGTCACAATATGATTTTTCCATGCTACCATATCAAATGCCACATCAGCAAAATCTAATGTTGATCGCCATGACATCTCCCCTTGTTAGCTGCACGACTGCCACGTGCAACTTTTGTTTGGTCAATATGTCCACATCACATGCTATATGTGTTTTTTCTTCCCAACTAATTGTTTTGGCGATCATAACTCATTCGTTTGAATTCTAATTTGAGTGATTCATAAGGCGTTAAATTTATCTTTCTAAGTTCTACGCTATAGACACTTTGAAACACTAAAACTATAAGGAAATAAAGTTTGTTATCAACAAAACAGATATGGTATGATTGAATCACGTAAACCTAACAAAGGTATGACTTTTAGGGTTTATGGTTCGGTTTGGAAGGTATGAATTTTCTAAGTTTAGCATTCCTTTACGTGTTTCGAGTTTAGCATTTGATTTGGAGATTTCTGTGATATATATGATATATCTGCTATATAAATATGTAAACATTGAAATATATGTTGTAAAAATTACAAAGTTCTAAAATAAAATTGAAATATATGAGGTACGTATTTGCCGTAATGGACTAATTAGTAATTTGATCTTGAGTATGAAAAATAAATACTAGGAGTGTACTTGGATGTGATAGGTATATTTTTGTTCAACGCAGCAGATGTTTGAACACGGGAAATTGAACTCAATAGTATTTTTCAAAAGCCAACTATAAAATGTATCACCAACTCCAAATTTTATATTTTCTAACAATTTGCTTATGTCACTTTTGCGTGAAATTACAAATTACCCACTATTATCTTTATCTCTCATTTTCTTTCCTCTTCTTTTTTCAAGGACGTGCACTTCTCTCTCTCTCTTCCATTTTTTCTACACCACATCCCATTCGATTTTTTGTTTTCCTTTAATTTTGAATTTTTTGATTTTGAAATTTTTTTGTTTTGATTTTGAAGGCATGCACTTTTCTCTCTCCTCTCTTTCCCTTATTTTTCATTCATCTCCTCTCAATCTTGACTCCATTTTTTGAGCTTAAAATTCAAAAAACAAAATAACAAATAAACGACACAAAAAAACAGGTCACACCTAAAAGAGAGGTAAAAACTCAACAAATAACACCAAGAACAAAGAGTTCACATAAACACCCCACATAAAAAAGAAAAAAACTGAACATACAAAAAATGGCTCTCGCTCACGGCGCTCTCGCTCTCGCTCCTCTCGCTCTCGCTCTCGCCCCTTTCGCTCCCGCTCTCGCCCCTCTCGCTCCCGCTCTCGCCCCTCTCGACATATGTCTCTCATCGGAAAAAAATCGTAAATAGAGCAGCTTGTTGCTTGTTTTTCAAGGGAGGTGAATAAAAAAAATGGGAATGGGAACAAGCGGCTTAGGAGTGATAAGGAGGAATATATAACAATAAATATTTAGGGTTTTTTTTATGGTGATTAAATAAGAAAGAGAAAGTTGGTTGAATTTTTCAAAAAAGAGAGAATTTGAAACGATACGAGAGAGGAGAGAGAAAGGGACRAGAAAGTAATAAATTGAAGAAAAAATGAACAGGGTAAATATGTATTTTCACACAAAATTGATGTTAGCAAATGTTTTTCAAAAACTATTTAGCCCGAGACCAAAAAAACAAATTGTTAACAATGATACGGATCAAAACATCACGTGAAATGTATTAACTAATTATCGCATGAAACATATTAACAAAATGTCACAAAAAAAAAACATAACATCACGTGAAATGTACATAAATTATGGAAAAATTAGTAGAAAAAACTTAATCATGGTTGGTGAAGACTATTGTGAAACAGTAGAAAATGGAGTGCGTGTTGAGGAAGAGGTTGAACCGGTGGTGAGGGCCATGAAGCCAATTTGAGCATAACTTCGACTAGTTAAAATATATATATATCATCAATGACTAAAAGGTCGGAGGTTCAAAATCTCCACTCTTATATGTTATTGATCTAAAAAAAGTAAAAAAGGAACGAAAGTGAGGATGACGAATGTAATTAGTAATATGCATGTTTTGTCACTGCATAACATATACGATGATATGTGAAGGTGGCCGAGATTCAAACCTCTATTCTTTTGGTCGATGATATATCTCCCTTAATTAAGGTTGATTGGATTAATGTGATTTAATCCGAAAAGTGTTTTGGCCCACATACTTTATTCAAAATCTATAGTTATATTCATATCTATATGCATTAAGGGAAAGATGTAATTTCCATCTTCTTTGGCACTTTTTAATTCAATACCAAAATTACATTTTTGTAAAGTAAAAGTGGGAGGGAAAGGGTTCAATTAGGTTTATTTCTATCTTATATATACATATATATATTTTTTAGGGTTCGGATTAATTTAATTTATTTTCGGACTATCCTGTAACGTTTCATTAACTAGAAAGTTCGAAGGTATGTGACCGTTATAGAATTTGCATCCATTCTTTTCAAAAGCTCAATCACTTTAAAATCTTATAATTTAAGTCCCGTTTGATAACTATTCGTTTTTAATTTTCGGTTTTTAAAATTGTGTTTTGTTTGCTTGCTCTGTACAATATCTTCACCGTTTTTTAAAGAGCGCATTTGAATTTTTAGCTAAATTTAAAAACAAAAACTACTGTTTTTTTAATTTTTAAAATTTAGCTTAGATTTTGAAAACGTTTCCAAAAAGTAGATACAAAATAAAGAAATACATAGATAAAAATTAATGTTCACAAGCTTTAGTTTTCAAAAATAGAAAACCAAAAACCAAAATAGTTATTAGACGGGTCTTAAAATAATAACTTTTTTTTAGAAATAATAAAAAATAGTCCCTAGGTTTTCTCATTGATATAACAAAAGTTAGAATAGCTAAATTATCATAATTAATAGTTAATTATATCAGCAAATAAGCTCTCTTGCTGACTGTTGTTTAAAATTTTTTATAAAATAAATAAATAAGTTTTTTTTCTTTTTCTTTTTTCTCTCTTTTGAGTACAACGTTTTATATTTCCTTTGGCATTGCTTATGCGGTCACTTTCATTTTTTATCATTCGCTTTTAAGAGTGGGACGGACAATGCAATGGGAAAATATTTAATTTTCTAACACATTTTGAAATGTCATTTCTCATTTGTCTTTTACCTCAATTATTGAGTTTTCATATTAGAAAAGTCTAACATAATGAGGGAAAAAAAATGGAGTGACCATTCAAAATAATACCAAACTAAAATGACAAATTATTGGATGACACGGCTACAATTGAAATCCTCGATCGGAGGCATATTAAAAAAATTCCATACTCTTTCATACCTATTAAAAATCTCACATCGAAAAAATCCAAGGGACCTAATAAGATTTATTAATACATGGATTACTTCTCTCGTTATCAATTGATTTTGAGCATCTAAGAGTCGAAYGCTCAAACAAATTTCTTTTTTTACAGATATCTTTCCTAAATCATGATACTCTATTTTAATATGTTTATGAATAAAATGTTTTAATTAATTAATTAAACACACTTTTTTTTTAAATACGTAATGCTTTATAACAAAGTAGTCAAAAAGTGATTTTCAAGATTTTGAAAGTGTTTTTAAAGAAAACACGTATAGATGCTTTTTAATTATAAAGTGTGTGAAAAAGAAGTGTTACCCTTAAAAGATCGTGACTCTTAACTCAGCACAAATTGTTTGAATTAATGGAATGACTATTTTTTTAACTAGTAACCATTTAATTAGGCTATCTAATAGATAATTTAAATAATGATTTTTTTAATTATAACTCAAATAAATATTATCTAGTCAAACCTATTCTCTCTAAAACTAGATCCATACTAAATAAACTCTCTCGCGTGTTTCATTAAATCAATCTCTCCCGATCTTCAGAGGGCTCCATTTCCATTACATACATTTCAGTTGAATCAGTAATGTCGCTTTGCACTACAAGAATTTCTCACTTTCCTTAATAAGAGGTGGTATGATTTACTTGTCTTGCAAGTCGTGAATCATCCAACTCATTTATAAACTTTCAATTAAGAAATATAACTCACCAAGCACTTTTTTTTTTAGTACAACATACAAGGATGAGAGATCGAACTCACAACCTCTTGATTGGAGATAAATGTCAATTATCGCCGAGTTATGCTCGCTTTGACGACTCACCGAGCACTTAATCCTATAAAAATGATGAGATGTCATAAAATAAACTCTATAAATTTAGAGTTAAAAGGGCTTCTAATATCAATCTTTTCTTTCTATAGTCTGAGATGCAATAGCGGAGAAAAAGAGGTCAATATTAATCTAAGTCCCATCTAAAAATTCAAATAATGCTTACAATATTTCTTTTATATTTGATTTTAGTTCTCTTACATAGATTCTAACAAAATCATTTTATAATTTTTTAATTAAATGCATGTTATTTGTTTAACAATTATGACATAAAGTAATTTAATAATTATTCCAACATTGAGGGTGTGAGAGAGAGAAAAGAAACCAATAGTATCAATAATTAATACACCACTAATATTAATGTCAAAAATAAAATAAAATACACCASTAATAATTACATGGCAATGGCTTCTGGCTTTTACAAAATCACCCTTCACCGAAAAATATATATTAAAATCCAACCTATTTTCTCAAGAACAACTACTAAATTCACAACACAAAAAAGCACATAGAGAGAGATGAGAGTTCTTAGGGTTTTTTTTTTTCTTTTCAAAAACCAATATGATTGTTTTTAGTTATTGGTTGGAATTGCTCCGAGAATAATTGTTGAAGTTGCCGGAAAAGCAAATTGTGGCGTATGACCAACAATTTTCGACGGAGCACCACATGTTCCGACTGCAGCCGATCGTTTTCCGTTAGCACACGGTGGCAGTGGAACAAAGCAAACCGTAATCGGTTTGAAATTTCCACTTTTTTAATTCTTAATTGGTTCACTTGGTTCCTTAAACTTTCAAACTGCTTCTGTTTACGTATACGCGATCGCTTGGCTGATTCTCGATTCGATAGCATCCGTCTTTGCCTACGTTCGTCGTCCATCACATCTGTACGGTTTGAATCGATTTGGTCTATGTTAAGTTTTGCATGAATCGAGCGGGAAGAACTTGAATTAACTGATTCAACAGGTTGGAGAAAAATGTCCGCCAAACCAGTGTCGAAATCAAAATTAGGTTTGGAAAATTGAAAGATGGAGAATGGCTCCGACGATTCCCACGGGTTGAAGCCACCATCACATGTCAAAAACGAGCTACCGAGTATGGCGTCGGATGGGAAAGTGGCCGGAAAAGTGGACAGCATGGCGGCGGAATTTCTTTGTAGGTGGTGGGGAGGGAGGGAGGAGGAAAGGGAAGAAAGGCAGTGTGGTGGTGCGGTATTTATAGGTAAACCGGTAGGGGTAAATCAGGGATTATAATCGATTATGAGGGGTAATTTCGTCTTGGAATATTTGTTTTACTGGACCAATTTACTTTTGACTTTTGAGTCAGCTGGCACTACCGGTGGGGTCCACGAAAAGGAACCACCGTGTGATATTATTACAACCCTTTTTAGCTTAGCTATGAAGAAACAAAGCGTTGTAGGTCCATGGGGACACGTGTTAGTATTCTATATGAGGATGTGGACAGAGCCAATAAAATGAAAGGTGGCTGACGTGGTTCCACGGCTGTAGGTCCTCAGCTTCGGATGGCTCGGCATGGCTATATAACTCGCAGTCAGATGTATTCAAAAACACCGATGACTCGAAAGACTTAATCAACTCATGGTTGAGTTGAGATATAAATTTATTTAGATTGAGTCAAGTTTAAATAAATGAAAATTATATAAATTTTATTATTTATTATTTTTTTAGTACAACATATAGTGTAGAAATTCAAAATTCAAAGGTCGAATGAGCAATGCTTAGGTTGACAATTATGTGGATTTGATTGATTCAAAAATTCATCTAAAATAAATTTAAATTTAGATCGATGTGAGCCAACTTTTAAAAATAAATTTGGTTGGAGTTATTTTTTTCACTTATCATAAGATTTATGTGGTTATATTTAAATGACGAACTCAAACCAACTCGAGTTCATCCTTTAACAAGAACAGTTTGAGTTGAATAAATTTACAATCCAATCAATCAAGCTGGATCTAAAAAGTATGACCAACTCAACCTAACCCATAAACAACCCAACTCACACCGAACAGCCCGCTTTTGGAATTTTCAATTAAATAATTTGATATTATGTAAAAGCTTTGGAATTATTGAGGTAGTATCGCTCTTTTCTTTTAAAAAATTTAGAAATGACGTTCCAACCAACTAGCTTTTTTGTTACATTTTTTAGTTAGATTACATCTTTAATATTTTATTTTAATTTGATCCAATGCCTTTAAAAGTTTAAAAAGTTTGTATTCCAAAACAAAATGAGCTCGTTTTCCTTTTTGTTTTTTCAACCAGCATAACTCAACAAATTAAAACATTTATATCCAACCAAAAGGTCATAAGTTCGAATCGTCCACCCTCACACGTTGTACTCAAAAAAGAAAAGAAAAAAAAAACAAAATAACTTCTCACCACGAAATTTCTATTCGTTTTTATTAAAGACAAGAATGYCGGGGAGGTTTTAAACAATGTGTAGGAAATATAATGAAACTTTTAAGATTATAGAGAAGTATGACGATAGAAAATTAAAATATACCATTTTTGTTCAAAATCAAAATATACAATAATAGAACAAGCACGATTGCACCTAATCAAAATGTGGGTGTTGGGATCAGGCAATTGAGGTCGTTCTATGCATAAGGATAATTAATTTAATAGTAACATTAAAAAGTGACATCAATAGCGGTTAAGACATTACACATAAACATACTTCAACGGTTAAATCATCATCAACCTTGCATAGATAGAAGCTTTGACTCAACACCCCCATAATTACAATGTTATATTAAAAAAAGTGGATAAACCTCACGCAGATGTAGGTTTGAACGTCATGACTAAGGTAACAACACGAAGCCTAATAAAGAGTGGTGGCAAACCATATGAGTTAATCAGCTCAACTATTCAGCATGATAACTCAGAATAGAATTAATTCCATAGATAGAAGCATAGTGTTAGTAAGTATTAACCTTCGCTCGACGTGGTTCAACTCAAGCTGCGTAGAACACACCTTTGCTTGGCTACGCCCAGATTGAGACTCCCTCAACTAGCATATGTGCTACAGGCCTTTTTTGAGTTTAACAATACATGAAGTAAGGACTTCAACCTCCGGTCTTTTTTGATAAAAAACATGTCTTAACCAGTCGAGCGGTGTTGGAGTGACTCAGACTCTTGGCATGATTGTTGGTCCTTATATATTGAGATTCTTTCATTTTCATCTCCACCCCCAAAAGTATGATGGTCTAGATCATTATAATTATACTTTAGCCTTTGACTCTCTTCATAAAACTCCGCTAAATACATCCCTCATTTGTCATCATGGCACATTGACTTGGTTATCTAAGTTAGTTACTTCAGTATAAACCAGTGTTAGTTGAATAACACTAATGTTAGTTGAACACTCAACTATCCTTTCTATCTGGCAAATTGTCGAACACCAACGATCTTTTACATCTAAAGGATGGTAAGGATTTCTGATAGAGTAAAATCACATCTATTTAAAAGATTGGGAAAACAGATATGCTTTTAAAGAACGTCTTTAGCAAAAATGGACATTACCTTTTGCATACAAGCTTGGGCGAGAATGAAGTTTGACCTGCGCCTGTGCCTTAGCCTGCGCAAAAGTGTTTTTTGGCTTGTACATAAACATGTTTCACCAAATTTTGCTCCTGTTTAAAGTAGTTTGTCTAAGGATGGAATCTCGCAAGGGAGTTCCCAGACTAGTTTAAGTAGTTCAAATACTTGAGTTCTCCCCTGAGTGAAGGCTATAAATAGCATTAGCTATGTCCTAAAATTTTAGCATGTTGTACTCCAATTGATTACCCTTTGATGCACCATATAGATAAGAGAAAAATATTAAAAACACAATCACCCATGATGCATATTGCAGAGTCTAATGCCCATAAGTAGAAAACTTCAGCAGAAAAGTCTTGTTTATTCCTATAGAACACCCATATTTTGTGCATAATCCTTGTGGTGTCATAAATAATAGAAGGCAACCTTTGAAAAAACTTTGGTTCCCAACCCTCAAATATCTATGTAAGATTGTAAGTATTAAGAGCTTGTTTCAATAACAATATTTCTCCTATTCATGTTGCTAAACAGGACCATCCTTACCTATGCTGACTTGAACTGGTACCTGTCTTCTTTGCGGTTGCCTCTTCTTCCAACTTCTTTTTCCAGTATTCATCAAGAGGTGGCCCAAATATTGCTTTCCCAGAAACAACACCAATGCTGCAACATATATTTTACAGTCTAATCAGATTCTCGAGTAATTTTACACCAAGCTGTATTTTAATTCTGGCCCAGAACTCATCCTAGAGCTTAAGGATTATACCAAACGTCCAAGAACAAATCCGACTTATGTTCTATTTGAAAGAAACACACAGCTTATCCCAAAATTGAGAAACATTACGAATTCATAAACTCATGCTACAACCTACAGTGAGCCAATTGTAAACAGAATTGTTTCTCCTAAAAAGTTAAAATCATAATTTTTCTTGTCTGCCAGCTTTCATAAACTTACATTAACAGATTTTTGGTTCCTCCGACGTTGTGCTTAAATTACAGAAACAGAACCTTCCTAGACTCCATTAACTAATAATGTCCCCAATTCTTGAAACTATTAAAAGTTCTGCATATGTTCTCATTGTCTTAAATTATGGGCTAATAAATTGAAACCAAGAACTTCAAACCTCTCGATTTGCTTTAGTTTTTGCACTCATAACATTCAAAAGAAGATTTCTAATAACCCTGTCATCCTCCTTTTACAGATAGAGAAGCAAACTAAAACCTAAAAGCCAAAAGGCAATAATCAAAAACAAGATTTTATAGGCAAGAAAACAACTGCCGACTTCAGTTAAAGCGAATCTTTTAGGAGCGTCCTCATTTTCTCTCAAGCATCGCTTGATTTTATTGGGTTTAACCAGAAAGAAATCTCAACTATTGATCGTAAAAACTACTTCCTGGGCCTATCATTTCCCAGGCCTCAATTGAGAAAAATCATACGAGGCAATTCATTCTTGTTTCAAGGAAAGAAATGGCAAGTAAATGAAGTTCTAAATCAAATTTCGTGTTCAATCAATGATGAATAGCTAATTGAACACCAGGATTCTGCAGATTATACTCTGGAATTGTTTGATTTATTCAGAAGGGTTCAAGGAAGTGATGTCAATTGGGGAAGAAAACTTACATAACAGCGCCAATTACCATGGGGAACGAGAGGAACCTGCTTCTACCGAACATTCTGAATCCAAACTGGTGATTGAAAATCTCTTTAGTTCGTTCGATCGATGAGCTTCGATTCCTAACCACGCTGCTTCTCAAGGATTGCGGGTCGCGGGTTACTCGTTCTTCAGACGGAGGGTTTTGAAATTAGGAGCCATGAAAGCATTTCGATTGTAAGTGTTTAAATTACAAATTTAATCTCAATTTTATTTAATCTCTCTAAAAAGTTATTAGTTATGAAATTTTGATTAATTGGATTTGAACCAGGATTTTTTTTTTCCGAAAAAATAATTATATTTTTGGGCTAGGTTTAGATTAGTTGATTTTTTTTTCCTGAACTTTTACTTTTAATAATAAATAAATTTTTACATATGACATATTTTTTAGTTCAACTTTAAGATCAAATCATGAACCTCTAGCCTATAAGATGGTAATATACTAAACAATATTAATTCAACTAACAAATCATTATTTTAAAAATTTAATATAATTCTGTTAAAATATATCTCAATGTATAAAATATTTATTACCATCTATGAATGATTTTATTTGATAAGAATTTAACAAAACTCGTGAAGCTTGGCAATAAGTGAGTTGACTCTTTAAACGAGCTGAAGTGATGCAAATAGGAGACTTGCAAAATATTTGGGTTTTTGGGCTAGTCTTTTTCAAAGGCACACTATGAAATATGTCTCATCTCCCCAATTTAATGTCTTGTAAACATTTACTGACATTACCATTCATTCCAAATTACTCCTCTGTCCCTCCACTATCAATTTCCCTCGTTTCGGATATGATTCGATTTGTTGTTTCACTTGACATAATCTAGTTATGGTTTGCGAAATCGATTAGTTATAGTTTGTACTGGACCGTCACTTAGATTTTAGGATGAATATGCGTGTCCGAATTCCGATTGTTTCGATTCACATAAATGAATGTTTGTGTCGTGTTCTGGAGTCACAGAAACGAGAGTGAGAGGGAGAGCGAGAGTAGGATAGTGAGCTTGAGATTGAAAGTAAAGCGAGAGTGAGAGGATGTACAGAATCCATAATTTCTCTGCTGAGAATCGTCTTCCCAGTAAGGGCGTTGTGGTGTCTCCCGTTGACAACTCTAGGTCTAGATTATACGCCCCATTTATATGCTCTCAAATTAGGGTTTTGTTAGGATCACCGTATCCTTATTCTATCTAATCCTCTTGTCTTTGGGCGTGTATTTCACAAATCTAGGCCCGAATCTAAGTCATCAAAAGGCCCTAGGTTAAGGATGACAAAATGGAACAGGACTTATTAAAAATTGTTAGTTACCTACATGTTTCTTTTCTTTCTAATTTTTTGTTTTGAATTCTTCCTTCGATTAATCCAACCATGTTTACCTTTTACTTCCCTACGCCTTTGGTCCCCAGCTAATCAGTTTCCTTGTTCTGCAATGAAAAACACATCACTGAAAGATAGTTATTTTCAGAAGCAGATCACCACAAGACATAGGACTGGAAAAAGCCACACGTTATTCAAACTCCATTGGTTTTCCATTCAAACTTGTTCCATGTGGATGTGTTTGCAACTTGCAAGATGAATTGTGTTTCGATAATAATTATACAGATGGATCATATGAAACATCTGATAAATGGTGCGCTTTCGACTCAGATGATGGTGTCATCTTTGAACATCAGCCCTGTAGCAGTTTGCAGAGGCAAGTTTCTGGGGATGACAACGATTTCTTGTTTGAATAGTTCAAATTTGACTCGATTTTGGCAATCAGATATCCAGTTAGACTTGGTTAATACGAACTAATCCGAACAACTGTCAACTGGTAATCACTTTGTCATCATAATGCGATTACAACTGGGAAGTTAACCAATTCAGGACGCGCTATCGTCTGATAAATAACGCGAACAATTTGATTCTGATATACATTCTTATGAAGATTGGTACACTGCCGCTGGGAGAAATCCACTCTTTCCCTGCCTTCTACTTGTTCTTAATGAATGAGGGCTATTCAGAAAGTGGGAGGGCAAAATTAACAAGGCAGTGAGTCGTTACTAGATTCATCTGAAAAGAATTAGACTCTGACCTGTACCTACTTGCAGCCATCGAAATATCAGTCGATGGTCGACAATTTACGGGTGATGACAATTGGAGAATATTTCTTCCAAATATTCTTTGCTGGATATAATCGTGCCCCAGCATTTTGTGTTCCAGGTACTAATTTAGGGGTGGGGAGGAGGGCCAAGAACGAGCTGGAACTGGGAAAATAAGACAGTCTGAAGATTTAGTACTCAAAAGTCAAGAACAAAATATGCCATTACTTGAGAATGTTAAAGCAAAATCGTAACAATTCAAACTCCTAAAGAGTATAAAGCAAATAGTTGTAAGCACAAGTGCCCAAGAAAGTAAAAAACATAAAACTTCTGCATAGTTTTCCTCTCTCAAAATCAACCGTCTACTTGATCTTCTTCTTTGGCCTCAACTGCAAATCAGTGATGAACCAAAAAGAAAAAATTCAAGTAACGCAGTGAGATTATAAATTATTAGAATAGTACAACTCAAAGAAAGACAGGATACCTGGTTGCTATGTCCACACTTCTTTTTCCTGCAGTTGACAGCACGTGGGTGCAAGCGGGCATAGCACCTGTAATTCAATTGTATGTGATCAACTTGAAATAATGATTCAGGAAGCAATAACAAAAGTATGTATATCAAATCAATTAAATGGTAAACCTCTACGACATTCAGTTTTCGACTTCTTAAGAAGGATGAGGATGTTGACAGACACAGATGGGCAATGAATTTTGAAATGCTAAAAGTGATTCAAATAGAAGCTTGCATAAAACCACACACCACATCCAACTCCATGTATAATGTAATTAACAGACATGATAACAAACGGGTTCATATAGAATAAAGAAACAGAACGATTTTATGAAACTAATTAGCAAATTGAAGCTTACTTGCGGCAGATCATCTTGTCTTGATTGTACTTCCTAGCCAATGCCATTAGAGATGGCTCAATAATACCACCACGGAGC